GACCCTTGAGACGCAGGAGAATCTCGGCCATGTTGCCCTCGAGGTTGGCCATGCGATGATTGAGGTTCTGGTTCTCTTGGAACATATGGTTCACTTGGTCTTGAAGGATGGCCATCTCGGTGGTCACTCCCGACATCTTTGCTGGAGTCGGTTCCCATTCCTCGGCACTTTCCTCCCCCAGCTCCTCCTTGATGTGACTCCATGACTTGTCGGACCCATTGCCCTTCTGTTTGACCGGGTTCTTGTTCTGGTATCCCTCGGACTTGATCTCCTGGTCCAACTTCTTTTCTACATACATCACGTACTTCTGGTGTTCCATTTTGGGACTCTTTTCGTATTGGCTCACAAACCAATCCGTCCACTTGTGATCCTTGAATGCTTCCGGAAACGGTGTCCCCAGCTTGGCTTTCCCAAACGCGATCACTTCTTTCTCCAGTTCCTGCAGGCTGAGCTTCTTCAGGTCGGCTACACGATCCTGTGATTGGTGCTCTTCCATCTTGGCTCGATACTGACCCAACTTCTGAGACACTGACGCCATGATTCACGTGGGAACGCTGATCGGAAGGTGTTGGCTCGATCTCTTTTGTGCCAGTGCAACTACGGTGTTCGACATGTTCTACGGAAATCTGCTGGCAGGCTTCTGATTTCGAATGCATTGCAACCGGCATGAATGGCTGGTCAACCTGATTGACCTGCAAAACCTTCTCAACTTCAGCATGCTTTGGCATGGAATCCTCACTGGGTTGAGGCGGCTGACTATCTGCGATTTTGGACTCGGATGCCAAACATGTCTCAGGTCCTACCATTTTGGCAGATACATTGCATTGCCCTGGGATTTCGGAAGGCCACAGCTCATTAAGGTCCATCAAAAACAAGTTCTTGTGATTTCGTGACACCTTCAATTGACGGCTGAGAAACTTGCTCCACATGGTTTCTTGCTCCGTGTCAATTACTGCTTGGATGCCCTTGAGAAATGAACTTGAAATCAAGAACGGTGTGTTGCCCTCCACAACTGCAATTCTGAAAAATTGGTCTCCCAAAGGCAGCATGAGTGCATGTCGACTGACCAAGGTTTGATGATTTCCAAATCGAAAAACCAAGTTGCAAGACTGGCGACGAACACGGCTGCGCACCCATTCCGGAATCTGTTTCAACAACTCAGGAACTTGCTTGCTACCTATCACAGTCTGAGAGGCACCTAAGTCAACAATTCCTATGGATCCGGATGATGGGAACAGGCTCAGGTGTTCGGAGTCTTCTAGCGATACATGGGGCTCACTTCTTTGAAGCTTCAGCTTGCGCAGGGTGGCAATGCTCTCACGGATGCTCAAATGGGTCGGCACACTCTTAGAACCCAGCTGGCTCCTGGAAAGAACCCGTTTGAACTTACTGAAACCCCACTTATCCCCAATAGTTGCCTTATCATCCATCATTGTCAAACAAACTTCATCATCCCACACCCCAATTTTCTCCTCAGTGGTGGCCAGGTTGAGCAGCTCTTCAGGAATCTCGGCCGTGGTCACAAATGATGTCGGTGCGGTCGATGGAGCCGCAGATGATGCCGTACTTCTGGAAGGGCACTCGTTCTTCCAATGGCCTTTCTTCATGCAGATGCGACAATAGGAGTTTGCAATCCTATTGGCGAGAGAACTCTTTCCCTTGCCCTTCACTTTGCCCTTTTTGCCCGATCCCTTTTCTCCACGTTTGACAGCCCAGAAGCCTCTGAAGCGCACCTTTTCCGACAACCTCTTTCGAGCCTCTTGGTACGAGGAGTAAAAGGCACAGAGCTCAGCATCATTTTGCACTGTTTCCGCCACTGCATCTTCAAATTGAAGTACAAGTGCTGCATCATCGTCATCCTCTGCTGCAAGACTTTCCAGTGTGGAATCATCCAGAAAGTCATCCTGAACCCAAAACGTCTCATTCTCTGTGTCCATGTTTTCCGATTGATCTTCCAAGGTGAAGGCTGTGTGGTCATACGTCTTGAGGCTCTTCTCCTTTTTGAACCCCACCATGTCTTGGAAAAAACCTGAACCAATCATTCTCACAGCTGCTTCCACTTTGGATACTTCTAAGGCCCCACCTTTCTCCGCTCCAGAGTCCACTATGACCCGTTTCTTGTCTTCACTTCCAAGTCGACTTCCTCGAAGAAGTATGTAGGCCTGAATCTCTGCCATGTCAATCTTCTTGCCAATCAGCTCCGTCCAGACCACGTCACAACGGGACAGATAGGAGTCACTGCTTTCGTCCATCTTTTGCTGACTGCGGTAAAGTGCTTTCTCTACCAACTCGAATTTCCTCTCCAAGGGAATGGCCCCCCATTTACCTCCAACCAGTTCCACCAGTTTCTGAATCCCCTGAGGGTCGTTGATCAAGATCTCCTTGCGGTGAAGTTGGAGTTTCTGGAAGGCTGTCCCCTTACACCCCAGCACCAGACGTGTGGCTAACTCCTGAATCTTGTTGGCAGGCCATGCTGAGAGCAGCAATTCTACCTTGTTCGTCCAGATTTCCACGTTGTCCACTGCCGGATCAAAACTCGGCACCAGTATAGACAGGTTATTTGGGACCTGTCCAACCTCTGCTGAAGCTTCTCCACTCTGCCCTGGCGAAGCCATCGTCCGGGCTCCGCTACCAGTTTAGAACTGGTAGCGGCCCAACCAACTGAGCTCCCTGAGCTCCCAAAAGGTTCCACCTCGCTGCACCGCAGCGTCCGCTATGTTTTCCTCCAATCGCTGAATGCACACGGTGCAAGGGATCGGCCACGATCCTCCTATGGCTCAAAGCCTATGCCCACCCACCTGCTTAGCTCACGGAGCCCCAGGCTTCGGCAAAGATGGATGTATGGGATGGTGCACATGTAGGCTGACAAGGAGTTGCACATTGGGAAATGGCAGTGGTTTCACAATATATATATATATAATGATATATATATATATATCCCATAGAGTCATAAGGTGGCGATATTATATATTATTATATATATATATTTAGGGATCTCATGGAAATTCTAGGTCATTTGAAGGCTTACATCATCCCTCTTCTATACCCAATTGGTAAATTCTAATGATTGACCTGAAAAGTTCGGCTATATTGGGATAGCTACCTCTTACTAAGCATCATTTCGGGAGATCAGTGAGGTGGGAATAAGTTCTACCCAGACATACTGGATCTGGTGGGATTTCTCCAATTGGATATATATATATATTTATATATATATATATATTGTTTGAAATCTTGAGGGTGAATCTGTTTGCATACAAAGTTTGTGCCACAGTTTCTTTGGATTTATGGTGCATTATACATATACCTGCAAAGTCCACGTGTTCTAAATTTGGGCCCCTTAGCCAAGGGTACAAATTTCAGACCCTCAAAATACGGTTTAAAAAAAAAAAGTTCTGGCATTCTACTTGAGTAATGAAAAGTGTCTTTGGAAGCTCATTCCGGAATCATATGCAAGTAGTTTCGTTCCAACTTGGAATTCCAAGGCTACAACTGTTGGTGCCTGCTAGCACCTAATCAGCAGCTGTAGAGTGCATGACAAGCCAGTGTGGGATGAGCATGGACAGCCAGGGTTTCAGTGTCAAAGAGTCTGAGCTTCTGCCTAATTACGCCTCTTACCCAGGCACATTAGCCCCCCTTGAAAACGTAGGTCTTTGGCAAAAATGGTAGCTTGTCACGCAATAGCCTACCAAACCAGTAGAGTAGTAATTAGATCATCCCGGGCTTTGTGGTCAAGAACTCATCATGCCATAGAGCTTGTGATGTGGTTTGTCATTTGATGGTTTGCGCAACTGCTTGATGCAGTAGTAGCCTATGAGCACAGCTGTATCCGGCCATAAAGGTTCTGGTACTACAGCAAGTGTTCAGTCGTGTCCCTGAAACATCTTTGAATTCAAACAGGAAGCTGACGTCAAACGTGCTAAAAGAGATCTGGTGTCAAAGATAAACTTCTGGTTGGTGGTTTCAACCAACCCCTCTGAAAAATGATGGAGTTAAAGTCAGTTGGGATCATTATTCCAGTCCCCATATATGGAAAGTCATAATCCAGTCATGTTCCAGTCACCACCAACCAGACTTTGTATCAAAGGCAGATTTTGGCTGAAAAACGAGATCCTGAGGATCATCCAGGCAGTTCTATGGATGATGTTATAATGGTAAAAATAATCTGGGTAAAACAATAAACCATTCCCCAGTCATCCCCTGACTTAACATAGCCTTTGACATAGCTATGGAAAATGGTTCGTTTGATGAATTAAACCTATAAAACGATTTTGATTATGGATTATGGAAGATTATGGATTACGGAAAAAAATGATTTTCCATAATCTTCCAAACCCCCAACTCATGGCACATTGGTTCGTTCGGGGGTGGTAACGTGCCTGCATGGCCAATCTTAAATCCCCTTTGCAAAAACACATCAGTTGATCTCTGCATACTACACGATTCGCTAAATCCCCATGAGATTGATGGTTATCCATGAACAATCCAAAGCAAAGTATTCTCAGCATACGTACGTATGCCGTATAGCTATACAAGTTTATGTATCTCCATATAAATATAGATTCTATAGATATCATGCTTCTATATTTTTACTGATGAAGTCCCCAGGAATGGTCAACATTGGTCAACCGGTCAACCATGATCAACCATGCTCAGATTCGCACACTTCGTGGTTTTCGCCATATCCATTGATGTGATAAAGCCATTCTCTTTTTGTGGCATGTTCTCCCATTCGAAAAATCCCATTCTGGTCAACCCATCCATGTTCATCCCCCAGTCATGGTCCCAGTCATAGGGGAGATAGAAAAATGACCATCGATGTTGAGGGACCAGTTACAGATCTTACAGATCTGTATGACCTCCTTAATCCATCAGGATCTTTTTAATGGATTGGACCTTGTTGGTTATACAGTTATACATCCACATTGTTAAATCTGTTAAATCTGTTCATGAAAATTTCCAGAGCACAAGGTGATGCCCCCATCTTTCGGTCCAGCCGCATTGGTAACCGCTGAATACCATGCCCCGACTGGCCACGCAGATCGGCCTGGCGTGCCCATCAAACCCCAACAAAACTATGTTGGAACTATGGTGAAACCGATCCACTTCGTTCACTAGAACTATCTAGAACTGCACCCCCAAGTAGAACCATATGTGGGGATGTCATGCTTTCTGCCTTTTTTTGTGAATGCAAAGTACCATGATTTCCATGACAAGTGGCTATCTCGGAATGTTTTACTAGCGAAGTGCGAAAATCTCGGGGTCTCTATTTCTCTGGGTCTCAAATTTTAAGCCATGGAATATCTTTTGAAAGTTGCCACCCCTGGATGATGTCGCAGCATTTTTGTTATTCTATCTTGAGCCTGAATTGACTTCAGGTAAAGGTCATGGTTTCACCTCTTTTATGACTATACCCTCTGGTTATGTCAAAGTAGCTATTGAAAATTGCCATTCATAGTTGATTTACCCATTAAAAATGGTGATTTTCCATAGCTATGTTAGTTTACCAGAGGGTAGATCAAAAGCTCTCAACACCTTGCCATCCTGGCGAGTTGTCAAGCGAAACCTTCATGCCCCTGCGAAAACTAAGAAACATCTTTGACCCGTTTCCAACTTTTGACCTATCATTTTGATGGGTCTGTGCCACCCTGGTCTGGTAACATCAAAAAAAAAATCCTCCCATAGATCCAAGCGGGTCCAATCTTCGTCCAAATCCACGAAGAAATTCATGTTTCATATTGAAGAAATTCATGTTTCATATTGACCCGTCGCCGCAGAATATCGTCCCCCAAATAACAAATATATGTTCCTTCTAAAAACAAGTAACTGACAGCTGGATCTGTTCAGAATCGAAGGCCTTATTTTGGTGGTAGCAGGGTGTGATGATCCCCGATAGTTTTGTGGCTTACCATAGATATACCACGAAAACCAACCGCTATGGCTATGTGTGGGATTCCTCAATGAGTCAATGAGCTGTTGATAATCATGTAATTTAAGTATGAATTACATATATCTCAAAAACAATCTATATAATCGTAATTCTATGTATATATATATATAGAGTGTGTAAGTCTGTACTAGTACCAAAGAAAAACACGTTTATCCATCTCCATCCCAGTAAATATATCACGATATGCCATGAGATCCCATGACAACAGACAGTTTTTTGCCGAGTTATACCCTCTAGTAATTAACATAGCGACGCAAAAACACCATTCTGAATAGAAAAATCATCTATCAATGGGGCATGCAAACCATAGCCATGTTAAATTACCAAAGATTATGATGATCCCTCATTTATAGACGATTTTCCCATTTATAGATTGAAGATCCCTGAGGTTTCCTGGTGATTTTCCCATAGTTAATATGGCTTCTTGATATGAATAGCCATCATTAACCATTATTACCCACTATTCACCACTATTAACCACAAAAAAAACCTAACATTCGATGATTTTCCGTTTTTTCTTGGGGGCTCAACGTGGCAGCACCCAGCCATTCCCACCTCCACAAGGCATCTCGCCACCAGCTGTGCATCCTCTGTGGGCAGCCGCAACACTTCCAGACAGCGACCTGCGAAGGCCTGCAACTCAAACCGGGGTCAGTTGGCTTTGGCTGAACATACTATGGGTTGATATGGCTTAATATGAGTTAATATGGTATATGGGTAAATATATTGGGTTAATATATTGGGTTAATACGGGTCTTACCACGAAAATCAGGGGTTCATATGGGTGAATCATCATTTTTCTCCGAGCACTCCTGAAGATATGTCATGGAATATCAGCAGTTGACCAGTGTTCATCATCATTGTGCCATCTTTGTGACTTTGTCCTAAGTATTAAAATGGCACTTTTTGCAAGACCCAATGCAGTTCATCAGGAAGTGTAGGTCCGTCTCACGAAACTCGTTGGGCTCTCTCTGCTGAAGTGAACATGTAAGTTTGGGGTGCCTCATTATTTCACAATGATGATGATGATGATGATGATCATCATCATCATCATCATCATGATCATGATCATTATCATTATATTTATATTTATAAATCATCATTATGGGGTACCTTATCAATTGGGCGTTATTTTCAATACCATAAACCATCCCCAAATGGGGGCAACCCCACAACAAACCCCATCAGCTGTGAAAAAACTTGGGGATTCTGGTGGTCAAAGATGTCCAATTTATGGGATGTAACCAGCGGAAAATAATATGGCCTAATAAATGACCAAGAAATTCCACATCTTGGAGTGGAATTTAACAGCCATTGAGATTTTGTGAAATTGTGAAACATGTGAAAATCGAAAAAAAAAAAAAACACAAGAAAATTGCGTACAATGCCAATCACACTCACGTTGACTGTAGTTACATGAAATTTTAATCCCCCTTATGTCATGCCAAGCGGTCAGCCGACGGTGTAGGGCCCAGATACATATATGTCCAAGTGCATTCCAAAACATCATTAAGAATTGGCTAGTTGAGACAACAAATCATCACTGTTTGAAATCAACTGACATGAAACAAGTACCCTCTGGTTATTTAACATAGCCATGGAAAATGGCCCATTTATAGATGATTTTCCCATTAAAACCTCCATTTATAAGGGATTTTCCATGGCTATGTTAAATAACCAGATGGTATAACAGAAATCTTGATTTGAACAGGTAAAAATCTTGACCCATCCCCATGACAAGCAAAGAAAACTCTCAAGAAACCTGGGGAAACATTGGTCAGTGTTGGGTATCCGTCCAATGATGGTATGACCCGCCAATATAAGCTGGGGTACCCCCCATAAAATGGAAATCCCCATATGCGAACTAAAGTTTGGGGATGTTTTGGATGGAAAAATGCACAACAGCTGGTGAACGAAGCCAACTGGTTTCGGAGATCATTTATCTAAATGATATATGTACAATATTTACCTATCCATTATTTACCTATAGCAATACCCTCAAAATATAGGCACGTAAAATCCTTCTAAACTAGTGGTGAAGTACGTTCTATATTTTTGTTTTGCGGTATATTACTGTACATGTATTAAATAATCATGTGTGTATGTAAGGTTTTGTCCGAAACTATAGTACCCCCAATCCGATGGTTTCTCATTGTCTTCACTATTTGTCCATTGGCACTAGGGGTGTATATATCTCATTTTCAGACACATCCATCTGCATCGGATGGTATACCTACCCCTCTGAAAAATATTCCCAACTGAATGGAAAAATAAAATTCATGTTCCAAGTTCCAAACCACCAATCAGGCATAATATGTTGTGATAGCCAATATATAACTGGCCCCCCCCCCTTAGATGAGCACCGACAAGAACCTGGTTGCGAAGTAGTTCTACTGGTCTGTTTATAGCTTTTCGAATAATGGCCAGAATTCCAAGATTACCCTCCGGTAAACTAACATAACTATGTCAAATCACCATGTTTAATGGGAAATTCCACTACAAATGGCAATTTTCAATAGCTATGTTAGTTTACCAGAGGGTAACACTTCGACCTGAAAATTGTTGCTGGAAACTATAATCTTCCAAGCCCCTTCCAAGCCAGGGTCGTCATGTTCATTTACTGGAGGGCAACAATCATGGGATTTAAATCGGATTTAGCCAAAGATGGGGGGTTTATGAGGTTTTAACCATCGGTGATAATCCATGGATTAATCCATGGATTAATCCATGGCTGGTTGGTTGATCTTAACATACTGTATCTTAACCATCAAACTATGTAGAACCCCCAATGGCTTAACGGGGCACCTCCAGCTGGGCAGCGGCAAACTTCTTCATGTCTTTGTCGGAGAGATGGGTAAAGGAAAACAAGTGACATGTGTGACATATAATCAGACTAGCTATAATTAACTTTAGTGACTATAGTAACTATATAGTAAGTATAGTAGTAACTATGAATAACAAATACAGGAATAATAACTATGATTCCATGATAACTATAATATAAATAGTAGTGTAACAAGCAAAATAAGTATAAGAAGTATAGTAATATAGTTGCTATTTTGTGGACTCGGGCAGTTGTTTGTATATCCATTAAATAGATAGAATAACCATTGAATGATGGAGAATATAACCTGAAATGTGATCATTTGCCCGTCATTTTGGGAGGATTTCTCATGGGTATGGAGTAGTGCCTTGATGACTCAGCTGCTGTGAACTGGATACCAGGGGTTCGATTCCAGCCAGGAATTTAGCAACAAACTTAGCATGTCAACAAGTCGCATTGCTCTAACTGGTTCCAAAATGGTTCCAAATTTGTCCGATCAGCTGGTGGTTTTGGATGTCACTGTGAGAGCAGGCCACGGGCCTTGATCGTCCCAAAACTGCCGATGATGACGATGACGTGTCAGTAAGGATATTTTTCGAATTGATGAAGTTTGGTGGGGAAAAAAAAAAATGGTAAAACTGTGGTATTAAATGTTGATTTACACTCATCCCCTAAAAGTAACACAATCATTTTCAAACACAAAAGCTGCAATGAAGATAGATGTCCCGGCAGGATGAACATCGAACATCTTATCCAACATCTGATGAATCTGTGAAAACGGCCAGAGAAAAAAAAATAACAGGCGTTGCGGGGCAGGATGTTCCCCATTTAAAATCATTTTATGGCAAAATATCATAAACATTCATAAATTATCCAGATATGTCAGTACCAAACCGAGGAAACTATCAAGAAACGCGCCGCTGACTTGGAGAATCACCCCACGTAACTGGTTCAAAACCTGAGTTGGTAGCTTCCACAAGCGGAGTTCTCCTGAATTTGAGTGGGTGATAACATGTGTTTTTACCTCAGGATATAACTGGATATAACTATATAACCATTAAATAATAATTACTAGTTGTCCTAAATATAAGTGAGAAAACTAACCTCACTACCGAATTACGACCGTGAAGTGATCCGGTCAAAAGTTGATTTTGATCAAGTGGTTGAGGGTGCGATTCTCATCCATCAACTACTAACTACTAACCATCATCCACTACTAGCCATCAACCAACCATCAACCATTAGACTTTGCTTTATCTCCTCACTTGTGAAGGTGCATCTCCCATTTTTGCGGCTTGAAATTGAACATCCCCTGGTGTTGGTGGCTAAAATCTGCTAAAACAAATACTTTTTGAGGTAAACCCCCAGAAAATCATCATTGGGGGATTCGTGATTGGCTACACTGTTATACTTATACTATATATAGATAATATATATTATAGCTCCTCGGGATGATGCCCTATTCCACTGCTTCATCGTCCCTATGCAAATACCCTCTGGGGGGAATTCGTTACACTTTGCGAATTGGCAAACGGCCAATTTAGTTCGATGATTTACCTAAACTGTAACGAATTCCCAGAGGCTATTCCCATGATCTTGCATGAAATTACCATTCCAAACACCATTATATGCGATTGATATTCCATGAAATCTCCATTTTTCATAGGTAAATCATAATGATAACTGGTTGATGGTTCTAACCATCTTGAAAAATGATGGAGTTCGTCAGTTGGGATGATGACATGTCCAATATATAGAAAGTCATAATCCAACCATGTTCCAGTCACCACCAAGCAAATTTTCTAGGCTAATCATAGGTCAAACCACAGACACACCGCCACGGATTCGACGCAGAAAAACGCCGCTTTTCGTCCGAAAATCCTCCAAAAATCCGCGGCTTTCGCCGCCTCAGCGCTGGATGAACTGCATAGAGCTGATAGCACCCAGGAAGAAGACGGTGGGCACCTGACATCTCAAAGATGGCAATTTCTTGGGAAAAATGTAGTTTAGACTTTAAACCATGGGGAGGTTGGGGGTGGCCAATTTTGGACCATATCATACCATATATATGTATATATATATATATGGAACTGATATGAACTGATATATGTTGGTCGCTTCAATCTGAAATACATGTCCAATCTTGTTTATTAAACGGGACCATCATCCAGATCTTCACATCCCATGAGGTTTATGAAGGCATCAGTAGTTTGTCCAGAGATACAACCCCAGTATGGCCTGGATTGTGTCGGCTGTGAGAAGAGGGATGCTCATGAGAGGGCTCCTCATGGGCCCTCTATGTAACATGAAAAATAAACAAAAATCATCAGATTCAATTTCTTGTCAGTCTGGGAACCTTGGACTGTGTGTTTGGCAGGTCTGGACCATGGGTTTGTTGGATCCAAAGTGAAAGGGATGCAGCAGCAGCAGCAGCAGCAGCAGCTGAAGCACCTGCTGAACCTACAATGGCAGTAGCATCAGCAGCACCAGATGCTGAACCAACCATAGAAGGACCAGCACCATCTGGTGATGCTGAATCAAGCATGGCAGAAGCACCACCTGATGCACCAGGAGCCCCCCTAAGAGGGGTGGGATCAGAGGCCGCAGCTCGTGTCCCCAGCAATCTTACATACCCTCTGCGCACCTGTTTGCAGCCAGTCGTTGTGTCTTTGGTGTGCAGGGTTACCAATTATGAAACTACCAGGTTCTGAATGTCGTTGGTTATAAAATGGGGATGTTTGAATAATGGGGATGCAATAGTATAGCATAATCAATGACAATGGAAATACAACATAATGTGACTATACCATACAGTAAATATTAAGTGGCTTGGGACATCAAGTACTGGACATGAGTATCTTTGGGGTTGATAATTTTTGGATAATGACCCCCAACTATAATATATTATATACTGATCAACAAAATGATGGGATAATACTGAGTAATAATAGAAGTTTACTGACCCCTGATAACATATTGGATTGGGTAGTGTCTCCCACCACTTAGTGCCCTGAAGCAACGACCACCGATTCACAGCTTCATGGAGACCTTTGTAAATATCTAGCACGTCAATATCTTTCGACAGCAATGACAGAGCCAATTGGAGGGCCAAATTAATAGAAGTGCACAGAATTAGTTGGAAGACTTGGCAAGAAGAGTTGTCAAACAAGAGGCTGTACAAGGTCAGTGAATCTGAGAGGCAAGAGCCTGGAGTCATCCAGGAGCATGTTTTCACGAGTTTAGCGAGTAGTGTGGAAGAACTACCAAGAAAGGCAGTATCCAAAGGAAATGGAGCAGTGGGGGAGACAGGGAGCTTGTGGATAGGTACCTGGTGATTGAAGAACAAATGAAAACTTATATAATGCATATGATATAGCATGCTCTATATCAGATCTATACATATTTGTCCAGTAATAATAGTAGCTCTGATGTATTGTGATATGTGGTATTTTTTTTGCAATTATTTACAATGAATAATAATGTTTTTGATATGTTGATATTTTTCTGATTCTTTGGAATAATACCTAATTTTGGACCCTGGCTGATGAAGGGCCCTGTTGATGGAGTGCCCAATCCTCACAAATGAAATTTGAAATCCCCAAAACCATGGGGTTTCCATAGAGAAATGGTCTAGTTTTGGATGATTTGGGTGCCCCTCGTGCCCCCCGGACTTCGGAAAGCTCCATTTGTTGGGGATGTCTTTCCTCCCTTGTTCGGCCCAAGATCTTCATCAAGGCACCACCAGGGCATGGACCGCCAGCCAGCGGAAGGTGAAAATGGGATAGGCCACAGGGGTCCTGTGGCCACATGGTCAGGTGGCCATGTGGCCAACAAAAATTACCCTCTGGTAATGACTATAACAGTTTGCGAACTGGAAAATGGCACATTTAGTTCGTTGATTTACCTAAAGATGGCCATAATCCATAGCTATGTTAGTTTACCAGAGGGTAAGATTTGACTCAAATGACTTGACAAACAAAACGATTCCATCACAAAGAATGGTGTGATAATTTGCAAAATGGAATCTTTGATCCATAACACAATAACGCTCTGAACAGCAAAAACGATACACGGGAAAACCTGACCCAACAAGCCATGCTGGGAAAGAATATTTCACCACCAACAAGCCATGCGGAAGGGTCACCTGAACATGGAATAACATGGAATCCTCTTGGGCCAAGAATGGCTCTTGAGATGTTCAAGGAACCATGTGACTCTACTAAAACTGTCCAGGACAAAGTGAAAGGAATCATTACCAAGTTGTAGAGTTCTTATCCTTCAACCAACAAAAATGGGGATCTAATTCCATATAACTTATATATATATGTATATCATATATGACAACAAAAACCCACAAACACTTTATCAAACACTTTGAATCAGCTTCCGAGCGTCACAAAGACTTGAGACTGAATCAATGGGGATCATCACCGATACACGGTGACGATGTTTACCGATGTTTACGGATGGTTTTTCAACCCAAAAAAAATCATGGGATGTAAAAACCAATTGAAAAGCCACTAAACATGATGGTTATATAAGTTATATCCGTTTTCAATTGGTGATTTTTGGATGTCGCGGATTTACCATCCATATTTTTGCGTCCTGGCCACAGCGGCTGGAGGCTGGCTTTCGGCGTGACGTGCCACGCGGCCCTGTGTCAAAGATTAGTGATACCAATGAAGCCAGAAAATGTCAGGTGTTTTTGGTACTTAAACAACATGAATAAGACATAATTCTGATAATTTAGGGGTTGACAATTGAAATACTCTGTCTAAAGTAATCAATATATACCCAATATGATATAAATGTATACAAGTAACCCATTCATTTTGGGCAGTTGATAAGCTTGACACATACCCAAGTTGCTTGCAAGTTCTTGCAAGCATAGCAAAGGCCTTAGTGGTTTGAACATCAAATCAAGAATGCTTTGGTCGCTGGGTTTAAGCATGTTTAACCGCCTTGAAAAAAACGAGCCATTGAGGATCATCATTCTAGGTTGGGATGGAAATATACTAAATATACTTTGAGATCCAGGAAACCCAAGGAACCCAAATGTTGCTTTCTGGATCGAATTTCTGGACCAATCCCAAAATTGTACTCAGAAACATATCAAGCTATGTAGGTGATGTGTTTTCTCTGGATTGGCTTAACAACAAACAAGGCAAATGAAACGACTTTAAGCACCACATCAGCGCATAGATGGAAGCAACCTGAAACAATTACTGCCAGGATGCTTTCTTCAAGTCAAAATGTCATTTCTTACACCATCAATTGCCATCCTTCCAATTACGTTGCTCTAAACATGGAGGATGTCCAGGGTGTCCATGCCTGTCGGAAAATAGGCTACGCCTGAATAGGACTGGTTGGCTATCATGTTCTGAGTTCCCAATCAATATGGTTATTTTGGGGTATGCCATGGTATGCCCCATCTTCAGATGCACACAAATATCCATATCGGTGATGACATGTTCCATAACATATCGCTGTGGATATCTCCATAAAAATTGCAATGATGTTTGATTTTATACCCAAATTCTCACATGTTATTACCATTACTGGACCCTTGTTTAACCCCAAACAAATCGAAATGTGACATGTACTTTCTAGTCATCTTAGGTAGTCCCCAAAGATGACAAATCAGTAGCAAATAGCATTTTTCAGTTACATCCACAAAATTCTCATCTTATATCCTCATAGTTTGTTGCTTCAGATCAACCAACCAGCATTTATCAACTGTATAGATAGTAAAAAAAACATACAACCTCTATATATATATATATCTTTTCAGGTGAATTCCTATTTAAATCCCATAAAACTCTGGTATACTCGTTTTCTTCGCAGCCTGGCGTGGCCTGGCGTGCCACCGCGCCCACGGCTGCAGCAGCGTAGCCCAAGCTGATGCCCAGGAGCACAGATGAGGACCTGACGAGCACTGGATTTCAGTGGGGTCATATGGGATTCACCTGCAGGATGGAAATTGGATGGAAATTGGATCGTTGATCTCATTGGATTGGTTTGTTCGGGAAAATGTTAACCGGAAACCCATGGTTTTTACCATTAAAAATAGATAAATATAGGGTTTTGCTGTAAATTTTCCCTTAAACCAATGCAATGATGATTCACCTCAAAAAAATGATCAGAAGAATGATCAGAATTCTGTCACCAAAAACTCTGTTCTAAACAGCAAAAAAATCCATGGTTTTAACATGTTCGCTGCAAACCCTAGGGTTTGCCCGCGGCGAATCCCGCATATCCTCTGACATGCTCAAATCCCTGCGAAGGGTTTTTTTACTTTCCAAAACAACAAAACCTAAAACCCTAAAAGCCTAAAATCTAAAACCCTAAACCCTAAATTAAAACCCTAAATCCTGAAAACTGAAAGTCAACATCACTGCGTATAGCCAGTGTTTTCATTCATCCTCTGGTGATAAGTATTTCATATTGTTTGGATGTGTTGTTTGAGTGTGGGTGAACCCGGAGTTTGGAGGGAACATGTTTTAACCAGCAAGAATAAAGATGTCATATGCTGGGTGCTGGTAATATTGGGAGGATGGCAAAACGATCCATCATCTATCTTTTGCACTTGGTTATATTGTCAGTGTCTTGTAGATAATTAAGTCTTTGAAAAAAAACATGTGGTTGATTCACCCCCCCAACCTTGCCCAAGTCAGCTTGGGGCTCATCATGCATGTGATTCACCTGGTTCACAACAAAAACAACCATGTTTCTCCCTATTCTTGGATCCAGGTTTCCGTACGAAGATGTGCTGTCAGCCTACAGGCAAGCGACCCGTTGGTTGGTGGGGTTGAAGCTTCACAGTCCTGGATCCTCCGGTAATGGAAAATCCCCTCTAAATGGAGGCTTTAGTGGGAAAATCATCGATGGATGAAGGAATTTCCACTGCCGTGTCTGGTTACCGGAGGGTTACAGTATTCTTAGCTACCCTGCAAAGACATCTTGAGTTTGAGCAGTCTATTTATTTTATTTCCCCATTCATGGGTGTGTGTGTGTGTGATACCGGGCTATATCGGAAAATTGCATTTTTCTTCACGGGATACATGATGATAATGCTTTGGGATTATGGCTGATTACGGGTAACCCAATTTCAGTCAGACCCTTGGGACTGAAAAATGCCATCAATGGGGGGCCCATCCCGATTTCTGGAGAAAACCACATATGATCGTGTTGGATATTTATCCCATCATATCCCATTTTATCCCGCGAAGATGCATTGCTATATGTTGTCATCCTTGCGTGGCAAGAGAGGCATGTTTCGAATGCCATTGAAGCCTTGACAGGCATTCCGATTTTAACAGCTTCATCTACCACAGGGTTGATGCTTTGTTTTTGGTTTTTAGGACCAGAAAAGAGGGTTGCCAGCACCAGACGATTTGTCAGAAAATTGCTGGACAGCCCAATGCCGACCAAATCCGGTTTTGCAAGATGTGATTCTGTGATCCCCGATGGCGTTGCCAAACGCCTCCAGTACAGTGACGATTAGTTTTTGATTTGTGATTTTTGGGTCATTAGACAGCATGCGATAGTGATACTTGCTTCAAACTTTCCACAGCAGGTTGATACCTGTGTGTTGTTTACTGGCTCAGAGGAGCCAGGTGAATATGGGGTGTGCACTGCAACCGGCGCTCACGACGCTCCCCCGGCCGGTCACCTGGAAAAAAACAAGTTCTGTGTGTGCCCGCGCGCCACTAGCAGAGTAACTTGGCTTGTTTTGTTTTGACATTGGTCTTCGCTGGGCCTAAGACCGGTCAGGTACAACCTGTGCGCATAGGTGTCCTTGACTTCGGTGGGCCTTGTTACCCCCCGCCTCACAGTGACTGTCTGTGTCGGCGTGGGCTCCGTTGTGAAATCCACGTTCCATATTGCTGCTGCTTGTTTGCTTGTGCCATTGTTTTTCTGGTTCATGTTTTGTCGCGTTCCTTTCTGTCCGGCCACTCCTGCCGGTGTTGTTGGCGCTGTGGCTCGTGCTTGCCAAGAATCCGGCCTTGGTCTCTTAGTTCAGTTGACTGCGGATCTTGAGGGAAAATCTGTTGGCGTGATTGCATCTTGTTTGGCAAAGCAGCTTGCGCTCTGTACTGTTGACGGGTTGTGCATGAGAAGACCGCCAAAGGCTTTGTGGAAAGTGCTTTTGGACGGGTACCTCTTGTGTAGTAGCTGGATCTTTCCTGAAGATTCTCAGTGGAAAAAGGCAAATGTTCATGTTGAAACCTTGTGGTCTGCTTGCGCGGTTTGTCGTTCGCTCTTGTGGCTTTCTGGCAGCAAAAGACGGCGTTGGGCCTATAAGGCCGTTTTGCTCCTTGAGGACCAGCACAGGCAAGCGCTTTGGAGAGAAGATCGGCCCAAACATTGGACCCGGACCGATGTCCGGCGTGGTGTCAGCAGTTTGGTTTCCTTGCAGCTTGCTGCTGTTCTTCCTCACTTGGATGTCTCAAGCCTTTTTGGCGTTGAACGTGATACTGGTGCTGCGTTGTATTGTTGGGTTGCTCCGTGTGCTTACTAGGTCGGTATGGCCGGGCTCCGCCGGAAGTGTGGGTCCGTTCACTGCGGTGTTGCGCGCAGATGGCTTGAGCATGGTGCTTTACTTCTTCGGCCTCACTGTCGAGATAGCAAGCGGTTGCGATACAAGTGCATGCGTCAAGTTGATTTTGGTTTGTCCTTCTTCTTCGTTTGTCGTGTGGATACGCGTGCTCGCATTAGTGCCTTGGAGCAGTTGGAGATTCGCGCTAGGAGGCCCAATGCCAATGTGCCATGTAATGGCCACAGTAAGAGGCAAAGCTGCAGTTCTGGTGGTCCTCCGAGAAGGCGGCCTCCGAAGCATTGCCGCAGACAGCTGAGTGTGCAAGGGCCTTTTGCTCATGTGAAGCTTCCTTCTGCAGCGTGCGCTCCTGCACCTTCGCACGCGTGGCCAAGTGATTTTGCATCCTTGAATATTTTCTTGTTGCGGTTGCGCTTGGTGAAGCATGGTTTGTTTGGCCCCATTGATTTGTATGCTCCTTGTCATTCTCGCTTGTTGGCTACCTGGTGTGGTTCCAAACATGCTGTTGTTGATTGGAAAGTCATGGAAAGCAAGTGGGGTACTCGTTGTGGTCCTGCTGCTTTGGTCCCTGCCATTGGCTTGGTCCAAGGTAAGGGTAGGAAAGCGCAGGCTACAAGGCGTGTCAATGACGCATTGCGTTCAAGAGCATTGCCCCCTGTGTCAGGCCTCTCGTGCAAAGTCCCTTCAGCTTGCTTGTTGCCAACTGTCAAGCAGTCTGTACGGTCTGCAATAGCAAATTGCTCCTTGGGTTGGAACGACCATGAGCGTGTTTGGGCCATGTCGCGTGTCCGTTTCGTTGTCGCTTCCCCGTCAAAATTTCGTGACCAGTTCAATGCGCCTAAGGTGAGCAAAGAGCTGCAGAGCAAAAGGATTGATGCCGCTTCTTCGCTTGGTGTGCTTGATGGCTTGCGTCGAGTTGAAAAAGTGTGGGATGTGCCTGTTCGGCTGTCGTCGTCTGATGCGTCTCGTGCTGTTGAAGGGTGCGTGGCGTCTTGTTGCAGCAAACTTGGCTTGTGTGTCTCGGATGTTGCTGCGGCTACTTCGTGTGGCGTCCGTGTGCTCAATTCCTGCCCCGTGTGCATTCAGGAAAGTCGTCGCCAGCTTGCTACGTTGGTGGAGTACGAGTCTTACACTGCGGACATGCGTCCGTGCCCAGACCAGGCTGTTGTCCCAGATGACAAAGCCAAGAAGTATATGTGGCTCCTTCCTGTGTGGCTGTATCAACACTTGCTCTGGCATTTTGCTTTGGTGGCTAAAACATGGCATGTGTCTTGCCTTAGCGTGCAGGTTGCGAACGAATGGTGCTTGACGGTTTTGCATTGCTTGCTCACTGACCGCATGAAAAAGTTCATTTGCTTCCGTCGGTACCGCTGTGTGCTCCCATACACTTACGGTACCTTCAAAGCAAAATGTTTCCGCGATGGGTTGCATACTTGTCAAAGAGCAGGCCACTCCTGCATGCGGAAAATTGTGTCCTTTGCTGGTTGGCCAAGCCGCCGGCGATGGAGGTTTGTTCACAAAGCGCTTGAAACGTTGGTCCGGTCTTTTGTCATGAGTGACGAGGTGTGGGGTTTGAAGGATGTTTGCAAGGTCATGGACAGCCGCATGTCAACCGCTTGTGCGCACACTTGTCGGTCGTTTACTTGTGGTCGCTGTGGAAAAAACAAGCCGCCTGTGGTTGCTTTCTCCGCAGATGCTGGCCAGTTTTATGAAACCGTCAGTCCTTCTGTCGCTGTCCACATGACTATGCAGCTGGCCCGTAGGGTTGTTTCCGCTACGGGAAAAAACACTGTGACGGTCCTCCGGGGCCGAAGGCGTCACGCATATCTTGGTGGCAGCGTCTATCAGCAGGGTGCGACTTCATATTGTTTCTTGATCTTTGACCTTGTCTTGGCGTTTGCTGCTTGCATGTTCATGGGTTTGTGTCGTGTAGGGGATGCATGCTTCAGAATGGAGGGATTGCCCATAGGGGGCGTCCTGTCAAAAGTTGCTGCGAGCATCGTGCTTGGTTGTGAAGAAGAAGCTTGGCTGCACGATGTCGTGTTGCGTAAACGTCTTGGTTTTGCGGCTACAACCCTTCTTTGGGACAGGGAAGTTGCCCGTGCAAGGTATGTGGATGATGTGCTCTGGATCTCCGGCGTCTATTGTCAGCAGTGTCTTCACCTTGCCCTTGATACCATGTACACTGTTAAATTTGACATTGCTTCTGACGGTCCTGTTGTGAACTGGCTTGATGTTTCCCTCGACGTGAATAGTTTGCAATGGTCTATGATCCAAAAGCCTTGGGTTTTTCCTCCTTACTGGGCGGCGCCTTCCGGGTTTTTGCGCTCATTTTTCAGTGGTCGGTTTCACCGCTGGTATGAGGTCCCCCTTGATGATGTTGCATGGTTGGAGGCTGTCTTGCATGTTTTGCATTCGTTGTACCATCATGCTTGGCCGGCAAGTATTGTGCGAGCTGCTTTTTTCCAGGCTCGTCACATCTTGATGCCGCGCCACCAGCGCATGTTTCTAAAAGGTTTCCGTGGCATTTGGTTGCTACCGGAAGCCAATCACAGGGAGTAAGTGTGTTTGCCTCGTTCTCTGCTAGCATTTGGGCATGGGCGCGTACTAATTTGTTTTTCTTTGGTGACTTGCTTGGTCGTTGCATTGTTTTTGCTCGTTCGGTGTACCCCTGTAGTCACTGTAGTCCGTGCCCAGTTGTCTCGTGCCTGCCCGCTGTGCCGTTTGCCATGGCTTGCTACCTGTGGCTGCTCTTGGTGGCAGTCTTTGTGTCCCCGGTGCTGTCAATGTACCCTAGCAGGTCGCGGAAGCAGACCCATGGCTGGCGTGACCGTGGTGGCTATGGTGGTTGGCAAGGAAGTCAAGACCGTAGTGGCTTGCATGGCCGGTTGGACAAACTAGAAATGCTAGTGGAAGAGGCAGTGAAAGGAAAGAAGAAGAAGAAGAAGCGCTCTAAGAAGAAGTCCTCGTCCTCGTCTTCCTCCAGCTCGTCGCCCAATGACAAGAAGGCCAGAAAGCAGAAGCGGGACAAGAAGAGCAAGAGCGAACCCCGCCGGTCTGAAGGCAGCTCTGGAACCCTTTCTGCCGAGGAAAAGAAGGAGTTGCTGGAGTTTCGTCGTCAGGCTGAAATGGACAAGTTGCGAGCCGAGGTCCGTGCTGCGGTGGAGGCAGAGAGAGCTGTGCCAGGACACAAAGCCAGTTCTCCCAAACTCCCCCGTACAGACAGGACCAGTTCTGCAGATCCTCTCACCCCGAAGACTTGTCGAGTCATTGTGGCAGAATCAAAGATTTTCCAGGAGACTGGTGTGAAGCAGCTCCTTAGTGACCCCTCGAGCTGCTCAAGCTGGCAGAATGTCAGTGACCAGCTTTCAGCCCTCCCGGTGGCAGAGGTCAAGGCTTTGCTAAAACAGTTCTGTCCCAATGAGCAGCTCCCCCGTAGCCGGCAAGAGATTGTGCGGGATGTGGTTGCGCAGCTCCAGCTCCGCTCTGCCTGAGCTTTTCCGTCCCAGAGATTGGGTCGGGATCATAGCTGGCTGTTGTTCATCTTGGGTGGCATTTCCATTTGGTTGGCTATCTGGTCTTTTCTACCTATGTATTGCGGAGGCTGCCATGTAGATTTTGCAGGGTGGATCCCCTCCATTTTTTACAGGCCTTTCAAATACTGCGAAGCTTTGTACATCCTTGCGTGGCAAGAGAGGCATGTTTCGAATGCCATTGAAGCCTTGACAGGCATTCCGATTTTAACAGCTTCATCTACCACAGGGTTGATGCTTTGTTTTTGGTTTTTAGGACCAGAAAAGAGGGTTGCCAGCACCAGACGATTTGTCAGAAAATTGCTGGACAGCCCAATGCCGACCAAATCCGGTTTTGCAAGATGTGATTCTGTGATCCCCGATGGCGTTGCCAAACGCCTCCAGTACAGTGACGATTAGTTTTTGATTTGTGATTTTTGGGTCATTAGACAGCATGCGATAGTGATACTTGCTTCAAACTTTCCACAGCAGGTTGATACCTGTGTGTTGTTTACTGGCTCAGAGGAGCCAGGTGAATATGGGGTGTGCACTGCAACCGGCGCTCACGACGCTCCCCCGGCCGGTCACCTGGAAAAAAACAAGTTCTGTGTGTGCCCGCGCGCCACTAGCAGAGTAACTTGGCTTGTTTTGTTTTGACATATATGTTGTCAATGATTCTCCCAGAAGATACATCCATTGAATTATCAGAAGTTTGAATTCTGGGGATGTATAAGGAACACACACTAATGATATTATCCCCATAAAATTGGTAGCTTCCCCTATGTGTTTTTTTCATGGGTCATTGATGGACAATTTATTCCCCCTCTATCAGCCTGGAAATCCGATATTGTTGATGGGTAAATCCCCAAAAAATCGACCATTCTTTTTTGGCCCCCATATCAGCATGTACCCATTCTTCAGCGGGTACATAGAGCCTTTCATATCCCTCCATTATATCCTCTGAATCCTCTGAATTATCCCGATCACAACCCATCGCGGTGGTAAATCAACCTACCACTGCGAATTCAGTTCCCATTATAGTTCCCTCATATTATGATATTATTCCATTACACAATGTGGTGCCCGGTTATAAGTTGGTCTACAAACCCCATGAAGTACTTCGATATACCCACTATAAACCACAGAATTCAGCTGGTGGTGGGTCAAAATTGGGTACTTCAATCATTGGACTAAAAATAGACTTGCTGGGTTAATACTAAAGTGGTTACCAAAAATAGATCTTTAGTAAAGTCATTAGACTTTAGTATCTCAATCATTGGATGGTTAATACTAAAAATAGACTTGAAATACACTAGTATGGACCATACAGTATGGATGGTTAATACTAAGTATTTCAATCATTTCAATCAGATTTCAATGACTAAGCCATCTGTGGTCCCGCTGTTCCGACGGTTCCGAACGCACCTCGCTGGGCACTTCCGTGAGCTGCGCCAGGTGTGGTGCCTGCAACATCCGCGAAATCTGCAACAACCAAGATGCTGATGAAACAGAGGAAAAAACCATGAAGAAAACCATGGAACATGTGGAAAATTGATGAAAATTGATGGAAAATCATCGAACATTAGTGATGAAAATTGTAGAATGTGACCCAGAAAATATCGTTAAGCACCAAGGACATTTGGCCAACTCGCATATAGGCATTCACCTAGTACAGGATGACCTGAGTTGACGATGATTTGATCCTTCCTCTGGAAACCAAGGATTTCATCAGCGGCTGGGCAGAAGTTGAGAGATAAAGTATCAGCATATGTGCCATATGTGCCATGTTCAATGAACATGGGGTATAAATGTAAATAATATGATATAATATGATATGGATATATGGCATGATATGGCATGATATGGCATGATATGGCATGATATGGCATGATATGGCATGATATGGCATGATATGGCTTTTATTTTTGCGTCATCCAGTCATCCGAGAGCAGCTTTTCAAAGCCAAGTCCCATGTGTTTGTCTTTAAGGCGATTTTGATCAGTATTAGTATCATAATCTCCATCGTCTCAAGCCAAGTGTTGGAACCGTAAATCAACATCAACCAACAGGGGTGAAAAAGGCCGCCTATTGATGGATCGCTTAAATTAGGTTTTAACATGTTTTAACCCCAAAATGTACAGACTGTTGCCGGTACCTAGGCACTCCATTGTCCCATACAATGATTAACCCATTATCCCGCGATGAAACAAACAAATCACCCCCGCAACAAGTCCAGGCATCAATACCTTTTTCTACTTGGATGTTCCCCAGTGCAGCGCTGTCATTGTAGTCATCAAATAGTCAATATATAGTCACTACCCTCTGGTAAACTAACATAGCTATGGAAAATCACCATTTTCAATGGGTAAATCCACTATGAATCACCATTTTCAATAGCTATGTTAAATTACCAGAGGGTATAGTCACTTTTGAATCCATTTCATTCCATTTCTCATCATTTCTGCTCTTTACAATCCAACAATTTCCATGTGAGCCATGCCTGGAACTCGCTCCTGGTGGCTTGTGAAGCCGGCGCCACAAAGGCCACCGCCTCGCTGTCGCAGATTTCCATAGGATTTCCGGCCGGGGATTTCCCCAAAGAAATTCCATAGGAAATCCATGGACATCCCAGTATTCTGCCGGGATTTCCGGCCACTTTTCAGCCTGGATCAAGGGAATGTTGTCTGAAGAATTGGAGCCTGACCCCATGAATTGATGTTAGTTACTGTTGGTTGGTCAATTGTAGTATCGAAGTATATTGAACCATCCGAATTTCTGGTAATCATTCTCAGCCATGGCAGCTAATGCCTGGTAAATCACAAACAAAACAGCTGTGATATGCAAGACCAGCCAAGTTCCCGTTGGCTGCTGTTGATCCATCAAAAAAAAGAGAATTCCAAGAAATGGCTTTGGAAAAGGGTTTTCTTATATACATATCATTCTTGGGGTCGTAGCTTTGCCGGATAGTATGCCCTGTCTATTTGTTCATGATCCGATTTGTGATTTCCTGATATCTACTTTACGCCTAGGGTAATAGTTCTATCCCACGTACCTTCCGGTATTCAAAGATGGTAATGGAAAATCATCCATCAATATTCTAGCAGGAATTTACTTCTCTAACTTTTTGGGTTCTATAGATAATTTAATTTGGCTATGGATCAATACCTATAAGTATAAGCCTATAACATCCTATAACTACTATTTTAGGGAGGATGTATATCCATTTACCATCATTTACCAGCTATTTCGCTGTGAACTACAGGGATCTACTATGATCTAGTGGGTTTTGATCCATCCTGCTTACCCTCTGGTAATTTAACGTAGCTATTGAAAATGGCCATTTATAGTTGATTTACCCATTAAAAATGGTGATTTTCCATAGCTATGTTAGTTTACCAGACGGTACCTCTTGAACATCACTTGATTTTCCAGCGATCAGCGGCTCAGCGGTCAACCGGTCAACTTCACAGTCCCTGAGTGCAACTCACCGCGCTGCACAGAGAAGTGAAAAGCAGAACCTGGGCGGCTCATGGTCCCCCATTGGCGCTCGAAACAAATCTGTTCGACAAAAAAAAAAACATGGAATTCTAGAAAAAACCATGGAATTCGAGCAACAGCCACGAAAATAGGTCACTGCAATGTGTCACAAAATTTCAGTAGGAATTATCTTGGTCCAAATCAACTGGTTGATCATCATGTTCCCAGAAATTTCGATGACCATGAATCCCTCAATGATGGCCCATGTTCAGACACACCCATGACACTTCGCAACTATCTTCAAGAAAGGCCAATCTAACTTTTAACCTATATAATAACCTATAGTTCAATGGATGATGTAAAGTTATGTAATGTAAATTAATCTGCAAATAAGATGATCATAGCACATATCAAAAAAAAGTTCCGGAAAGGTCAGTTCAATTCTTGCAACTGATGGCTGCAAGAACAGTTGTGTTTCTCGCTGCATGTCTGTTAAATCGATTGAATTCGATAAATGCTGAGGCTTCTGTTCCAGCTGTTCCAGTATCATATTCAAGTTCTGGACCGCATACCTCTCTACCCAGCCTGTCAGCTGACCATGTAGGAACGTCATACCAGCCCTTGTTGGATCTGGTTGGTATATGGAGAGGTTCCATAGCTACCCGGGCTACCCGAAAAGAACTGGATGAATTATTTCATGGAAAATCCGAAAATACCATGGATGATGGGGGTACCCCCATTTTAGTAAACCTTCATATTGTTTCCTAGTGATAATTTTCAGTGATATGGTGCTTTCTGCCGTTGGTGTGTTCCAAATGTACCACTGCTGCCAAATTCACCACTCTCAAATCCATTCCCGAAGCATCCTGCAGCCAGCTTAGTGTCCAGACTCGCAGCATTGCGACGTCCAAAAATGACCAAAGCGCTTGACTTCGCGTCTTGAGCCCCGACTGTGGAAAATATATGAGAAAATCATGTTTACCCAGGATTCCAATAAGAATTTTCGAGGAATTTCAGGAACATCTAGATGTCGATTTCGACAAATCTGGATGCCAGCTCTGAGTGATTCTGAGTGACTTTCCCAGTCCAAGTGGAAGCTCAGTGACCAGTAGGTCGGAAGGATATTCACCGATTCTGTTGAAGGACCATGCGGAAATTCCCAACGATGGCCAGCTGGAAAATGCCCTAATACCAGTAATTAGTGTACAGGTTGCTCCCTTGGCGGGAAACTTATGGTAGATCGGTGAAGATCTACCAAGTTTCCCCACAAGGTGGTGCCCCAGTTTGTTAGCTAAGTTGGTGCAAATAACTCCCATAACTATGGTTTATGGCAGATATAACGAACTAGTTAATGGGGTTTATAAACCAACTTATAACTGGGGGGCACCATCCCGCAGTGGCTCTCATTTACCTCTAATGGGTTGGAGTAACCTTTTGTTTCAATAGGACCAAATCGACAGATTAATGTACAGATCCAGGCTATGAAGTTCCCCAATGTAGAAGACCCATCATCAGATCCAGCAGATTTCAATACACTGGTGGCAAACTCAGGCACCCAACGAAGACAGTGGTACCCTCTGGTTATGTCAACAGTTTGCTATTGAAAATGGCCATAGAAATAGTGAGTTTTCCCATGAAAAATGGTGATTTTCCATAGCTATGTTAAATTACCAGAGGGTAAATTGCCTTTCTATCTCTTTGGGGGATGTGTCATGCATGTGTCTCTTGATGTCTCTTGGATTGGCAGGGAACCAAGGAAACACCGCCAAAAAATAATCAATGTGGAATCTGGCAGACTACCAAAAGCTGGATCATGATCATGGCATCTTGCAGAGGAATTCCACAGTTGATACGATTCATAGATAGTTTGACGGGTGCTATTTTACACTGTCTGTGGGGGTATCTCCAAGCCCAAGTTGATGATCATTTTAACATATTCTAACTATCAAACCGCTCATTTTTGGTTCACCTGTGCCCTTTTCTTTAATGCTCACCAGCGGAATGCATCCCTCAGCTGCCGGCACTGCAGGCTCCCTTTTGGCCAAAAATTCCCCGCTTCGGTGGGTTTCAGTGGATCCCTCCTCGGAGATCGGATGTGGATTTGGCCAGTCGAAAAAGATGCCACCTGACGTCGAGAAATGGGGATGCCATCAGCACACACGTCGTAGTTTTAGGACATGTGGTAATTGTACCATGAAAATTTTGTGCTGATTTAAATAAGTCCTAAAATAGATGTTGACATCTAGCATCACGGTGATGCTAAAATCAATTTTGTCTGGGGATGAATCATAACTTCGGAGGCTTTTTGCCTCCAAGGCACTTCTTTTTGGGCCCTGCAATATTGAACCATCCTATGGTGAAGGCTCTGGTGCTTTTAGGCTCTGCAAGACCAATTTTGTCCTTTCCATAAGAAATGGCGTGGATGCCCAGAAATCCTCAATACTTCAGGTATTGCCAAAATTTTAGGGTTCAATGATGTTCAATGGTTGAGAAAATAGGAAAGATCGGAAAGACTTGAAAGTTGAAACCACCAGCCAGTATGATCCCTGTTCATCTGCTCTTAAATACCTTAAACGACACCCTGGTCGAATGTTTTATCGCTGGCAACAAAATGGGAGAGAGTGTTCCAGTTCCAACCCTTCCAAAAAGTCGGCCTGCTAGAATTTTGCGTCCGTGCAAACAAACCATTTCCATCCATTTGCAAAACCGTGAGATGAGAATCTGGCAGCCCTTCTCAGGCCCCAACAGCATGGCCTTAAGATTTCTGCAACACCAAAACTTATTTGGGGGTCTTTGAATCCCTGGCTGAGT